TGTGTGTGTGTGTGTGTGTGTGTGTGTTTGTGTGTGTGTGTGTAGGTCAATATCTGCACACCTCACCTCCACAGACCTGACTGGGTTTAACACCATCAAAGGTGATAATCAAGTGAACACCCCTTTGAGTTTTACAAGCTTTAGACCTTAGACTTTATTAATCTCAACAAAACAAGTTGTGGTTTGGTATGAGACTGATGGGTTTTCACCTGGTCTACATGGGCCGAGTCCTTTGTCAACTGTGAAGCCCGAAAAAAGTGGCTAGGAATTTGGACAGTCTGGTCTTCAGCTTTATTATGTCTTGTCGCCTTGCAACCATGACAAAGCTAAACAGAAGCAAGAAATATATTGAAATGAGCTAAATATTACTATATTATGATTATGAATATCATAAATTAAAAAAAATTGCTTGGATGCAATACATGAAAAACTAAGGGACCTACCATACCAGCTCGTTTGATTTCTGACAAGAATAAAATTAAAAATTTTGACAAAAAGCTGCTTTAAACTTTAAATTTTTGTACCACCAGATTATATTTTAAAACTGTATCCTTTCTCTTGCTTCGTTTGCCATTAAAAGCAAAAAAATAAAAGAATCTTGACCTGCAATGCATGGGGATAAGGTGGAAGGATCCTCAAATTGTGGGGGAAGCATTTGTGGGCCTTTGAATTTGAACAGTCTTCAGCGCATCGCTGTGATGTAATCGGCCTTTAAATTCAGCCTTCGAAGGATGCAGCCCCTGAATTTGAACACAGCCAACATTAGACAACAATTTGAAGTATTGCACAAAACTTTACTTTCGAGGTTTGACCTAAACTTCTATATTTTTGGCATTGCCCAACGTAAACTCATTGTCACTGTGGCCCCCTTTGTGAATGAGTTATAAGACAGACGGACAGGAGGGATAAAGGAGAAGACCAGGAAAATGGTGCACATGCAGAAAATGAACCAGGAGCACACGGAGGGTTACTGCCGAAAAAGCTGAGCTGGCTTTGTCTTATCAGCCGGCCTCAGCTGATCTCTGGACTCCCAGATTGAGCAACACGTCAGGAGAAACGACATCAGTCAGAGACAAAGAGTCAAGCGAGGCGAAACACAGAAACGACAAGTTAAACATCCAGAGAAGCCCCCACCGCCCCACCCCAGGTACAATGACAGACAGAACGTCTCAGATGAGATTTAGGGGAGGAGTATGACAGATTTGAGAGCRCGGGGAGGGTCAGAGGCAGGGGTCTGGCACAAAGAAATTGTGGGGACAGCCAGTGCTWAAAGGAGGCAAGCACTCATGTGAAGCTCGGAGGAATTCAAGGATAAACGACAGAGAAGAAAGGGATCAGAGGCAGACTGGTCCAGCAGCCCCCCGCCCAAAACTGGACTTCAGCATGGGTGTGAAGAGAAGGGCTGCTGCTGCTATCTTGGTCCTGCTCCTGTTCCTCGGCACACTGTGGTTCTGTGAGTATGTGTGTGTTATTAGTGTTGAACTAATAATTTATTTAATCTGTTGTTGAAAACACATTTAGTCCAGATTAGGCTGATGAAGGCAACAAGATCCAACATCCTGAAAAATGATGCCACATGACTTTTATTCTGAGGTGATGATTATTTTTAGTTTTTTATTGTGACATTTCCAGAGTTATGGTTCGGTTTCAAAAAGGTTTTGCATAATACATAAAAAAAATCCTTCTCGTATCTAGTTTATAAACAAAAAACAACTCCAAAAAGTTTGTAAATCTTTTTGTAACAAAGCTGAAACTGTGATCATGTGATCTCTTTCTCTCGTTTAGATTAAGCTCTGCATTCCACCTCTGCTTTCCTATAATAACCCTGTTAGGAAGATTAGGATCAGGATCTCAGTCTTTAGTAGCAACACTTCAGTTTTCTCTTTTTGTTTCTCTTTACTAAAATTTTGGCCCAATTCTTGGTCCGGATAGAAATACTTTTCCAACCGATGTTTTATTTAAAGGGATTTCACAGTTTTTCTTTGTGAGTGTGAGTTGCATTAATGAAAAAAAAAATCAAAAAATGCCTTTTGGAAACAAAACAAAGAGAGACCGAAAAGCCTAACTTGTATTAATTTTTTGATTTCCAAGAAAACCATAAGGCAGCGGTCAACTCAACTAGATCTGCCTAAAGAAATTTTTCCTCTAACAAAAAGTCAATATTTGCACATCTTGTTTGTCACACTAATTAATGTAAATGTTAAACAAAGCTGCAATGCTTAAACTAAATCAGTAAATGTGAGGGAAAAATAAAAAAGTTGCTTTTAAGAAAATGTGAGCCAGTAATTAAAAAAGTAATAATTTATTCTACTGAAACTAGAGAATGCTCAGGGTCCCGATAAGCCTTCATTTGGGCCCTCATCCACACCACAGACCGTCAGTTGAAGAGTCCTATTAGTTTAGGTTTGGCAGTTAAAAGTCTAAATCAAACAAGACAGCAGTAAAACTTTCAATCATTGGACAGACGTTATCAGTCACAAAGTCAACAGGTTCAGTGTCAGCGGGTCACAGAACCAGAGAAACCAGAGACCCGTCTGTGGGTCAGGATGACCCGACATTTAGGCGTCACAAAGAAATGACCAGAACCTGTTTTCTGTAAAAAGGTAGAAGCTAAACACAGAAAGCAGTTGTTCTTGAAACAGTTCTTACTGATGGTGTGGCTTTTGTTTGTATGTGGGTCTGCAGTGGACTGAGGACCCATGGGGGCTGGGGGGGAGGGACTCTGTTAGCACAAAGAGCTTCTAAAGAAAGCTGAAGCAGTTTGGCTTCCCTCAGACAACTGAAAGATGATCCCACTGTGAGGCTGTTGTTCAGGGGGACAGAGGACCCCACACACATCCACACTTTAAATGGTTTTAAAGGTGAACACTGTAATCATGACTGCAGCAGATCTTTGCAATGTCGATGTACAGACAGTGAAATATTCTTTCAACCATTCGACCATTAYTCTTTTATTTCTGGTCTTTAATTTTTTATTTGCTACTCCTGCAGCTTTGGAAAACCCATAAAAACACATATATGATCAGGATTAGTGACACAAATAYGATTTTGGTCACATAAGTTAAATAAATTAGGCTCAGTTCTCCTAAAATTCTTTTTAATCTGTTTTAGATCAAACGTGAAACACTGCCGTTACTTCATTAGTTTGCCAGKGTCCAAAACACACCCCTTGACGAAATAGTAATGCAAAAAATAAAATAAAATAAAATAAAAATAAGAAAGAGAAACTAGAGAAGATGCATTTCTCAAAATTAGCTGAATGATTGCTGAAATTTGCTGAAGAACCCAAACTGTTTAAACAAAAACTTCAAGGGGCAAAGAATAGCTGAAATATGCAAATAAAAAATAAAAAGTAATAAGTAAAAATATAGCTAAAAGGGGCAAAAAAAGCTGAAGAGGACAGAAAGAAGGAACAAAAGAAAAGTTTAAGTAGCCGAAGAAGATTAAATTATAGCAGAAAAGGTCAGATGGCTAAAAGAGTAAGAAAAAAGTTATAATCAGCAAAATAGAAGCCAAAGGAAACTGAAATTAGCATAAATTATTTTAAAAAGCTGAACCAGAACCAAAAATAACACTCACTGTAAAGATTTGTTTGCATTTTCAAGGGTTTTATGTTTTATGTTGAAGAGGGCTGAAAAAGCTTAACATCTCCAAACTGCTAAATACTAAAAGTCATAGCCAGAACGTCCTGAAGGAAATGAACATTTTGATACATGAAATACTGAAATAGCACAAAAATTGCACGCACAAATGCCATGGCGAGTAAAAGTGATACTAATTTAGGCTAGCTATAGCACTGTTAGCTGATAATGCTCAAATAAAATAATGTTTTTGGCTCAGCCATGGTGYTTAACTCTTCATGAAAAAGAAAATATATTATCCAACTTTTCAAAGTATAAATTTGCCACTTGTGAACCGTGAATTAAAACAGAAAGTGTTTATTTATTTATTTATTTATTTTTAATCAGGACCTGAGTACAGTACAGCTTAACTCCTGCCTTGCTGTGCTGCATTCAAATGCAGTAGGATAACTCAGAGCTTAGCTCAAACACAGGCATTTAACAAATTGATTAAAGGTATTATGAACTACAGAAGCCAAGAACGAACATTTTCAACTGATAATTTTTTCCATGGTTTTCTCGTGATAATGACATATTATGTTAAAACTTCATTTATTGCTTCTGTGAAATAATGGTTTTGAAACTTTTTATCATATGGTGACTTCGGCCTTTGGGGTTCATTCCAAGACCATTTTTGTTTCAAATGAGACATGAAAATCCCTGTCACTGCTTTCTCTCAGTGTCTTTTGCATAAAATAATTTCCTCTGTTCTCCGTTAGGATGAACTCGTCAGAACTTTTGATTTTGTCCGATCTTATTACTTAACCGTTGGCAATTATCGTTATTAGTTTGAGGTTACTGCAGGAAATTAAAAATCTGGAAATGACTGCATCGTTAACAAGTTTTTATTAAATGAAACATAGAAGTTAAAAACCTTCTACCTAAATGATAAACCTTGAGCTTTGGAAATAAAAAGGACATTAAATAAAATACTATAATGTAAACTTACTGCTTTTGTTTCTTTTCGCTGTTTCACTGCAGACGGAGGTTTGGATTACCACTGGGATTCTTGTTTGAAAGGTTACAATCATGCTAACAAAGTAAGAGTACAAGCAATTCTCTAGAAAATTTTACACATCACAAAATTGATTTAGTGAAGCAGATGGGCGGTGAAAGRATAAACCGCATGAGGTTTTTTTCTCTTCTCTGTCCTCCACATTTACACACATCCCTCTGCTAGGCCCACCAGCTGTCCAACAGCAGCAGACCAGAGGTGTCCAAGGACCCCCCTGTCCTCTCCATTTGCCCTGGCCAGAACTTCCAGTTGTCTGTGCTGATCTCTCACCTACTGGATGCTCCGGATCACACCTCTGACACGTTGTTGCAGCCGTACCTGTCCAGCTGGGATGAGCTTGTGAAGTAAGATCATGCATCAGAAATCTGGTCAATATATTTATGTAGCACATAAAAACAACAGAAGTTGACCACAAGTCAGCAAAATGAACAGATAAAACAACAACTAAGAAACACAGAAATGTGAAAAAAATATGTCAAACTAATTTGAAATACAGAAATACAACATAAAAACATCATCTCTAAAAGAATCTCAAACTCTGCCAGAATAAAAAGCCAAGCAGTAAAGATTGGTCCTAAGCATAGATTTAAAAAGTCTCAACAGTGTCAGAGGTTCAAATTCAAAAAGCTAAACCATTCCACAGATTTGAGGCAAAAACTACAAAAGCTCAATCACCTCTAGATTTTAGTTTGGATATAGGAGTAGCAAAGAGAAACTGGTTGGATGACCAAAGTTTTCTTACTGGAGCGTGAAGGAGATCACATGTATGAAGGGGCCATTTTTAAAACTTTAAAAGTAATCAATAAAATCCTAAAAAATCATACAGAGATGATTTATCTAAACCAGCATACAAAGCATTAAAATAATCTAAAGACCCTGTCACACTAGACAAATTGTGCTGATTTTTGAAACATTGTTCATGTCTAAATTGCTAATAAAAGTTGTATATTTGATCAATTTGTTCAAATTACATCATTTATACACCAAAAAGATGCTTCCTGTAAAATTTTTCAATTCCATCTTCAATGAAGATGTCTTTAAAATGCTCATAAGTTGGCATAAGTTKTCTAGTGTGACGAGGCCTTAACTAAGAGGTAATAGAAGCATGAATGTTTTTGGTCAGGAGATRTGACTTCACTTTGGCAATAAGTCTTAGTTGTGTTTTTCTGTTTGTCCAGTTTAAAGGCACTACTAAAGATAACACCCAGATTCCTGAATAACTAAGCCAAGAGACCAAGGTTGTCAAGATAAACACATTTACCAAAACTGTTGACTTTAGCCTTACTTTCATTTAGATTCCGGAAATTCAATTTCAACCAGATTTTTATGTTGTTCAGACAACTCAGGAGAGGTTGGGGTGGATTTACAGAGCCTGGCTTAATGAGCAGATAAACCAAATGTCATCAGCAAAACAGTGGAAATGAATCTTATAATTTCTATAAAAAAAAGGATCCCAAAGGCAACACGTAAAGACAAAAAAAAAAAACAGAGGACCTAGAATAGAGCCTTGAGGGACCCCACAAGTCAAAGGAGCTGTAGAAGAGAAGCATTAATGAACAGAGAAGCTCTTATTCGTCAGGTAGGATCTGCTGACCACAGTATTAAATTATTGATTCTGAAAGGCGACGTACATTTCTGTGTTGCAGGTTCATGGATTCTCTGGGCCCGATGGTGAGTCTGATATCAAAKGAGATAGAAAGCAAGACCTCAATAATCCGTCAGCTGGCCCTGCTGTCTGAGGAGGGCCCTGACGCTGAGTTTCAGCCAAACGTGAATTCAAAAAACTCTGTGAAGCCACAAACCCCGCAGCACACGGGCGCCTACCGCTCTGTGCACTCCATGATCAGGGCAGAGCTGGACGGAGCCGTGGTCAACTTCCACCACCAGACGGACTCCGGATGCCGGACTCTCCTGAGGCTGCATCGAGCTCTGCTGTGGCTGAAGCTCTTCTTGCAGAAGCTGGCTGAGACGAATGGGGGCGGCCGCCTCAGGAGCCCCTCGGAGCTGTGCCGGGAGGCCTAYCAGAGCACGCTCGCTCAGCACCATACCTGGTTCGTCCGCAGAGCTGCCGAGCTGGCCTTCATCGCCATGCCTGAGCGGGGGTTCTTCTTCAAGCTGGTGTGCGTGCATAACCAGGAGGAGCTGAGCAGGGTGCTGAACAGAGCGGTGGCGGCCATCGGGGAGGTTTATGACAGGACTCAGAGGGCCTTAGAGGAAAATGGCATGCTGGATTTGCCTTAAAGAGGATTCTAAATTCACCTTCTGCTGCTGCTCTAACTTATTTTGTAGTGAACCCTTGGATCTTTGGAAAAATGAACTGGATCAACACATTTCCTACAAACATGGCTGTCAAATACAAGGCTAGACTGTAAACTTTGTCCTCCTGACCAAACTGAGTCCTCTTTAAAGACAAGTTAAAGATTCTGACAATGRTATAGGCCAGGGGTGTCAAAMTCACTTTCACCAAGGGCCACATCAACAWTATGTTGGCCCTCAAAGGGTCRRTTGTAATTACTTCAAGGTTTCATGTTTAACTTCAATTAAATGCAAAACATCATGTTCCTCATCTCATCACTRAGACTGAGCACGACTAAAAATCAATAACTGAGCTCTACATGGTATTTCCTCCATAGAAACARWGTTTTAACACRTCTTCTTATAAACACTGAAAAGTACATGTACAACTGGATAAATGTGAAATGCTGAGTAGCTCCATTCTGAACTCTCACACTTTCCAACAGGGAATTCCCACTGGAGGGGCATTCCAGTTTAAATTTGTACCTTGTAAGTGAAATTCCCATTCTCCAGTCTGGRCCACAGCAAAAGTAGTCGACAAAAATGTAGTGAAATTGAAATTTACATGGCTACTTTTGAACCCYGTGTACCTCCACCTGGTRGCATGTTGGTGTTTTGCAGGTAAAATTATCAACATGCATTATGGGAGATGTAGTTAATGCTGGCTTTAAAGTAGCATACACTTATTTTAAGACATTATTACATCGTTAAATCAGGCCACATGAAATACAATGGTGGGTTACATTTGGCCCACGGGCCTTGAGTTTGACACCYGATGTAGGCTGTGAATTATTTAACRTGATGGTTCCGATATTTTGAAGTGGGGTTCTGGGAAAAACATAAGCATTTAGTATCTTAACTATTTTTAGGGATTTTTTTTTCCTACTTTGGAGAAATAGTGTTATTTTGACCAGCTTAATGTTCTAAATGCGAGAGTTTAAACCAAAGTGGATTTGAAGTTAATGTAAAAAGCTTATAAACCTTTAAATTATTGTTGTGTTTGCACTACATTATCTACAACAGAGAGGATGTTAATTATGTGTTCCCTTTCCAAAGAAGCCTCCTTTAATGCTCTGATGTGACTTGTGGGCACAGTAACTTAAAATCATACCATATACATCACCAGAAAGGTAGTTTTTCTTTGCTGAATCCAGGATGTCTCATGTTTTTGTGCCTGCCAAATGTGACTTTTTTTAAATGAAATGTATTCCATGATTAAGTGTAATTCATTCCTCTTGGTTTAGTGTTCTACCTCAGACCTGTCTCAGTCCTGGTGTGTTAGTGTTTAAAGTACAACAAGACCAATTGTTTGTAATTAAAGTGGCATTAAAGAAAGTGTGCTGAACAAAACACATAACACAGTGTTTCAGTAAACACACTGTGAGTCTTAATTGGACAGTTTTGCACATCAGTTAAACATTTTGTATCAAGTTCAGAATAATTACATATCTCATTGGATTATAAATTTGTCTTTTTTTCATGCTATTGTAGTTTTGCATCTAAACTGTTGTAATGTAAACAAGTATCCAGCAGAGGGCGTTAATGCTGACCTCCATGTTTACTTACTTGGTGACGTGGCTGATTTAATCAACACTTTTACCTGGACCCATGGTACCCTTTGGTATTTATAAAGGCTTAATAAATATTCAAGCTTTAAAATGATTATAAATAGATATATAAAACATAGACATACATATCCTGGACCACATACAGAATAGCAAGCATCAAGCAGTCACCAGTCTTCAATACACTATTTGTAGCTCTAATGCTACATAATCCTGCCTTTTCTCTGTAGAGCTCTGTCTTCCTGAGGAAGAGACAGAAGAAAAGATCAACCGAGGCAGAGAAGCTTGAAAAGCTCAGGTTGTGTRGGAGGCAGGAGCTGAAAGGAAGTTAACCTCACCTTTAACCCTCTCAAACAGCTCTGAGTTGTTTAAATACCTCCTTTTGAGCAATTATTTGTTCAATAATCCAGGAAGTGAGAGAACTTTGACTCGACTGACAGATTTCATCTACTCAAATATAAAAAAATATAGTTAAGATCTTTTGAAGTGGGGCTTTGTGGAAAGGTTATGGGTAATTAACATCTTACCTGTTGTAGATAGTTTTCTGAGCATCCTCAGTTTGGAGTAATTGAGTTTATTACTGAACAATGAGTTAAAGACTAGTCTGAACAGGTCTAAGATCAAAGTAGTGTAGTGTCCAAGAGTAGGGGCCTCTTCTCAGGAATGCACAGATGTGTTATGTCTCTTGGTTTTCCAGCTTCAGAGCTCGGCACATATTACCATTTTAGGAAGAGGAATGCTTAAGGTATACCGTGACAAAATTTATGAGGCCTCTGTTGAACTACACTGTGCAACCTATAAAGAGGCTTGTACACCCCTACCCTTGGCCTTCGTACTTCATCTTTCTTACTTGGTGAATCATTTGGCTTGGAGGCCATAATTTGGTTTTTGGCTGTAATCTCCTGGACTGCAAAATAAAGATTCTTGCTGTTCAACCAGCCTGTTTCAGAGTTTTCCCTCTTCATTGAGCAGCAGCAGTTCCGCAGAACCAGAAGACATGGTTATTACACCTCAGTAGCTTGATGCCATTTAAAACATGTCCTGTTAAAAAAAAACCAAAGCAAACAGTACTTTAAAAACATTTATCACCATTTACATATAATTTTATGCACATTTGTAACTGTAAATATAGCTGAAAACCTGTTTTAGGAAAGCAAAAATCCACAGCTTGGTCAGAATGAACCATCATTCCTCCAAACAGAGGTTGTTTAATGAGTTATCTACAACAGGTAAGATATTATTTGTGCCTACAGGACCCCTTGTTTAAAGATCTGCGCAATAGTGAACATGTGCTTTTTTGTTCTTTTTACACATTATCACAACACAAATAAAAACAGCTCTTACATTTTTTAAACCAAACAGCAGAATGTCTGCAAAATCTCCCTACAAAATCCACTGGTGCTGCAGATTATCCTACATTACAGWTTATATCTGTCTGAAGCCTTTTTTGACATTTGCAAAAGGCAGGGAATTATTTGACCCTATTTTAAATCACCACAAGTCACAATCTTTTCTTGACACTTGAGCTCAGAAATGTAAAGAATATAAGAATAAATGACTGAGACACAGAGGCACAACAAAGACTGAGTTTCCTTAAATGACATTTATTATATTCTCTATCTGGATTGTGATAAATATGAGCAAAAATATACACACGGTTAAAGCAAGGGAGGAAAAACAAGTACAAATTTCAGCCATAGGGGTGAGATATCTGAACAAGTTTCAACACTTTATTTTTTTTTTATCTCTTCAACAATTCGTTCACGGCAATCCTAAGTAAACAGTGCATCTGAACTCGAAGAGGAAATGTGCAGGCAATGATGCTTCTTGTTTTTAATCACCAGTTGAAACATGAACAGTTGCCTCTTTGTGCACCGTGTGCAGTTTTGAAAGTGCTTTGAGGGTTAAAGTCCTTGATTGCAAGCGTCAAAATCTCATTTAAAAAAAGGCGGAAAAGAATCAGAAAAACTGGCAAAACCATTGAACCTAAAACAAACTGATGTTTTTTTGCTTTTCATTGAACTAACTTATGAAAACATATATCCACTCGCTTTTGAGCAAATGCTTTTATTAACAAAGCCATCACTTTAATATTGCCTTCATATTTTCCTGAATCAAATACACCGCTTCCCATTCTCTTCATGATGCGCTGTTTAAGCACAACCTTCCCGCTAAACACGCACAGGGAAAAAATATATTGCTTTTTGACATCACCTCCTAAATACTTCCCCAAGAAATCAAGACAGAAATGGAGACAAGAGGAAATAAAACTGAGACGCTGGAGAACAAACGTGTCTGTCCACCAGGAGGCACTGTTCTGTTGTGGTGAGAAATAATCCTGTTGTGCGTGTTCTTATATAACAGGAGGCCTTGTTCCTAACAAATGGTTTTTAGCCCTGCAGCTGGATCTCTGAATGAGGTTGGTGCTCAGATCTGCTGTACGAACACACACACACAACCTGAAATTATCATCGATGTCTTTGTTTGAAAATAAAGCAAAAATGTTCAAAAAGATGATGAGGATTTTTTTATTCAGGAGGTTTGTAGTTTAAAGTAATATATGTATAAAGATATTTTGAATGAAATGAACCGGGCGACCAAAATGCAGAGGAGGAGGATCAACAAAAGTAGGGTAAAGGAGTTCAGCGTGCCTGCTCTGGATTATCTGAGCAGATTAAGGGATTACAGTGAAATTAAGTGAGTGTTGCAGAGGACAGATGCATGTGGAGCGGGCAGACTGGTCCCAGAACGAGTCTGTTGTCTCATTCTGTATGAACCCCACCAGATTCAGTGATGTTCTTCAGATAACCAGTTCTTGTTTGGACCACCGTGAGTTAATTATTGTTTTCGCAGCGTGAAGAACGGTGAGGTTCAGAAGTCAAATCCGACCTCTGAGATTGGTGAAGTCATTTTTTAACATCTAGTTTTGGGAGCCTGCCCAGCGCAGTTCACTTTACATGGGAAAAATCAAGGTACACATATAAGTACATTGGCTTTACTGCTCCAGCTGTTAATCTTGAATAATATGTGTAAAACACTGAATAGTACATTTTGTTTACATCTTTTACCCTTTTACTTTGCAAGAATCTACCTTACTGTACATTTTGTATAAGGTGTGTTTTAGGTACCATAGTGTTGATTTTTGTACCAAAAAGAACATTCTTTCCACCCTAAAGATTATTTCTTATACTTTAAACTACATTTTTGTCCAATATTGTACAAATGTCTGTACTTTTAAGTTAAATTTCAAACCCTGGGGTATTTTTTTTAATCCAAAATTTGATTTTAGCATCATAAGGACAGTTTTTGCATCGTATGGTACACGTTTTGAAAAATCAGAAGTCACAATCTTTTCATTTCAAAACTGMTTTTTGCAAACTAAACTACATTTTTTTGTACTTTAACACTAAGCTTTGAAGCCTAAAGTACATTTAAATGTAGTCTAAAGTTTAATTTTCACATAAGGTACATATTTGATCCTATAGTGCAATGTTTTGTTTTTGTATGCCAAGACTGACTTTACACCCTGTGGTGTATTATCATAACCTAATGTTGATTCTTGCCTCCTATCATATTTTTCTGGTATTTTTGTTAAACCAAAATTAGATTTTTCTTCCCTAAAAGGAGGATTTTGAACCTAAAACAAATTTTAWGTACCGTAAAGTTAATTTTAGCAGCCTAAAGTGTTATTAAATTGTASCCTAAGATACATTTTTGTACCATATAGTGCAATTTTTTTACACTTAAATATGTTTTTTATGCTGACAATTATTTTTGTATAACTACATTTTTGTCAACTATGATTGAATTTGCACTCTGTGGGCTGAAGAATTTTTCAACCCATATATTTGCACTAAAAGGATCATTTTTGTATCACAAGGAGCACTTTATGTAGATTAAACTCCATTTATTTGCACCCTAAAATGAAGTTTTGCCACCTAAAGTACATTTAATTGTAGCCTGGGGTTGATTTTTTTTACCATAAGGTCCACTTTTTTGTGCAATTGTTGTATTTCAAGAGTTATTTTTGTACCACAAGGATATATTTGGCATCCCAAGTTATAATGTTTGTATGTTAATTATTGATCCTTTAGATATATCTTCTGTACCGTGGAGTAAAAAAAAAAGTATATAACAAAAAATTTTAAATCTACATTTGTTCAGATTAACATGATTTTTTTTACCTGGTGTACTGCTGGAGCAACAAAGAACTCAACCAATGAACCCTTTTACAGTCCAGTTCCTTGGTTTGTAGCTGTGTAGATCCAGTACTAAACTCTGAAGTGATATAATGAAGATAATTTTGGTTATCAACTCATCATGTTGGGTTTGTTTCCAACGCAACAACAGAAAAATAAAGCAAAACAAATAATAAACAAACATGATTTTCATTGTGGACAGTGATGTTTGTCTCCAGTTTTTTTCAGTTATCTACAAACCAACTCAAAACTCTGATTAAGTAATTATTGTTTGATCAAAAATATCTACAGCTTCTGAAATTCTTGTTGAAGACTCACAAAGGGGACAAAAACCTGTCTTAGTCATGCTTCTCCCCAAAATTAAATAAATGAAATCAACAGAGTCTTACCAAAACAAACGAAACAAACACTTTCAGAATAAAGCAATCAAAAATAAGAAAATGGCATCTATTTCTGATACAAATGAAATAGATGCAAGACACACAATAAAAAGTAAAACTCTACATATTTAAATTAAGCATAAATTGACACACAACTCAAAACRTTTTGGTTAAACTTTAGGAAAAATATACAGGAAAAGTCCTAATTTTTGCTATCTTGATGAAATTCAGAAACATGGTTGGGTTAAAACAATGAAAGCTACTTCAAGTAGACATCTGGGCGCTTAAAAAGATGTTTCCCAAAATGTCTGAACCGTGACTGATGTATGGCTTTTTATTGTTTTAAGTTTGGTGTCRTTATGAACGAACTAAATGTGAGTCGAGGGTTTTCCCAGAACAGATCAAAAATAATGAATATTTAATGAACACAAGCATTCTGAATGTTTACAGCTAAATGAGTATTGCACATTGCATGCAACTTCCCGACCTACAGTGAGAAATGGGATCTGTAAATGTAACACACACACACACACACACACACACACACACACACACACAC